CTTTTAGTGTGTGCGTTGCAAGGTATATAGGTGACTGTGACTGTACAATTACTAATTCTCAACTTTTGCATACTCAAACATGAATACATCATAATCAAAATGAATATCGAGAGCGTACTGCGGTACTGATGACTGTATATTCAAAAAATTATACACACAAGTCGACGCATTTAATCCTTTAAAAATGATCATTCAAGAAAAATAGTGAACAAATTTTGAAATTATTATCCGATTGTCGAAAAAATATTAATAACAATAATAAACTGATCGCTATCACAACGAACAAAGAAATGCAAATCAGTTGATTTGTGGATACGTGTGTCCAGTTAAGGAAGAATTATTGTGTCCGCTCTTTTGAATAACTCTGAAAGATAAAATTTTGGTGGATAACAAATATGAATTCTAACAAAGTGCATATGCGAAAAAACAAACAATGAATAAATAAAATAATAATAACAGACAGAATTAAATCATCATTCACATAACGCAACATACATTTCAATGCAGAAAACAAACAAACAACAACATGAAATAACTTATTTAAAAATGTAGAGCATATTCGTACAATAACCAGGCTACCTGCTGTATCTGTTCACTTCAACATTTGATTCACTCCATCTCTAAAGTAAACGCTATTAACTTAATCAACCACTACTCAGAATAACTCNTAATTAGAAAATGCCATTCAAAATGACGCATTTCAATTCACTCTGCCAAATATGTCACTTATTCAACCAGAACCAAGTAAAATTAAGTTCATACGATGAAAAAAATCTTTTTGATTGAATTCCCACTTGTAGTAACTATACCAACGATATCACCATACAGGCTATAAATAACCCAAAAAATTTATCGTTTTCTGAACAATCTTGCCATTACCTTTTCCTTTAGAGCATTGAGCAAAAGGGATTGCTTCACAGTATGGTTATTATAAGCCGCTTTCCTTTCGACAAGACATCATTTCTCCAGTGACAAAATCATACTTATGTTACCTATACCACGTCAAAGGGTGACATCGTTACTACTATGTATAATATATATGATACAAGACACGAGGTTAAAGTCATATCCGAAACAGAAATGAACAATCATAGACAACATTCAAAATACGTAATCGCCTCACTATAAAATCACATATGCATAAACAAACATCGCACGATTCAGAGAAAGAAATGAATAAGCAAATTAACAAATAACAATTGAATATTGCCACCGATGCGGTTCGAAAAGTATCAGTTTCGTTAATAATAAATAAGTTGACGAACGGATCTTGAATCTGCGAAACTGATTATCACTGATAAGAACTGTTGATCGCGAAACTGAGAATAACTATGCAAAATTTATCTTATGAACAACCATACATTCTTTAAAATTGATTGAAGAAATACCCAAATTAGAAAAGGAATATTCTGATTCTAAATGAAGAAATCAAAAGTCTTACTCGCAAATGGTAGAAAATGAACGTAATATTCAAATAGGAATCTTCAATGGACTTGTGAGCAACGAGCTAAATGTATGAAAAGGACTAATGCACAGTTTAGAATGGACATCTACAAAGAATCGTACTCAGCTGTTTTAAATTACCGGATAATGACACAACAGAGCGATTGTTTGAGTAATGATATCAACAAATACAAAAATGATTATGGTACTGAAATTGTCACAATGAAGAGAACAACGCGAAAACCGTTTATGAACATGAGATATGAAGATGAGAGTCGTAAACGTTCACATAATAATATCGAATTGAAAATGACGAATGATAAGCGTCAATTTCATCTTCATTTATCCCCACTGCCTCCACTACCCGCCCTTGACGATGACCCGTTCGCTGTCACTATTTTATCTTGTTCGTGATATCTGAAAACGATTCATTCCACTAAAACATTGATGCAAAAAGAACACGTCTTTCAGCTAAATGATGAAATGAATACCCCTATCGGAACAATACTAACGTCTAAATACAGAGCATTCATTGGAAATAACTAAACATTTAAGCAAAAATTACTCAAACTTCTTAAATGATAACATCTTAAAATCAACAAATCATTGCACATTTGTTCACAGAAAAAATATATTATACACAACTGTTGAATGATACTACACTGAAAGTAAATCGGATGAGTGGCATGAGAGGAGACTGAAGAAAGGCACCTGAGATGAGGAGGAAGGCGTTTGAAATAAGCGTGATCAAGTGCATCGTCCAATGTCATTCGGTGTGATGGTTCATATTCCAGCATTCTTGTTATTATATCATATAACTCCATATCTTCCGCATCGTTCGACTTCATATAACGCTGAAATTGTTTTTTATCGTTTGCGATATAATACGATATGAACTAAGCAGCTGTGTTCAGCTATTGAGAATGCACTCCTCACTTCTAACAGACTCATATTCATGAAAAATATAACTGAACACATTCCTTCAGCAACTGAAACACCGACGGCTATGACAGAAGAACAAACCGTGAGCAGTAAGAAAGTCAGACGAAAGGAAAAACAAAAAAGAGTAGGATCGAGTAATCACGCATGCGTATAAAGAATGAATAAAAGTAGGTAATTATAATGACAACTGTCAGACGAATTAGTGGGATTACTCAATCACTCAGGATCGACGGATAATTAATTGGATTGTCCGCAGCAATTTTCGATAAATATTTACGTCAGGTACATTTGGTATCAGGAAATAAAAATGGCCATAAAAATAAGCCATTCCGTTCGATCAGATGAAATATTTCAAAATCATCCTAAATTCAATGCTTCTGTTCCAAAGATTCACTGTGACGATATCGATGAAATAATCTTTGGAATCAATTAAACTACACTGCCTTTTCGATATCACGAAAATGAGTTCACTAAAGAAGCAAGAACAATACAACTGTACGTACATACTCGTGCTACTGGAAGCAGATAAACTCATCAATTATACAGAACCATTTAACATATTATATTGCAGCAATTAATCCAAATTTTCATCAAACGCTGCAACGAGCTGACACACAGATCTAAACACATACACACACTTTAAAATGTGCTGCTGCTGCTCACCTTACCGACCAATAATAATAAGAGAGTTGTAGAGAACAAGCTTGCAAATAATAAGAGAGTTACAGCAACAATTAGAGACAATGATCTAAGAGAACAAGCCACCAAGAATTTGAGTACAACATATACACAGCTCAATGGCAACAACGAACTGCTGTAAAAAGTCGACAAAGTGGCTGAAGAATTGAATAATGCATAATTCAAATCAAATGTTCAG